ATGCTTCTTGTCTTCTTTGTGCAATGGTGTGTGATTTATTAAAATCTCTCTTGTTTTGTCATCCTTCTTCTGTCCAGTACTGCTTCCTCCAGCCTTACTTTTTTTATACACATAAAACAATAGTCCAAATCATGAAGAATTATCTTCCCCTGTTCCCTCTACGAGGCAGCCACAAAACGTTCCTCTGCCTTCCCAACCATAATGGGCTTCAACAGTGAACTTCTTTGATGGTAGAAACCTCCCCACTGCCATCACAACCAACCTCTCTCCTGGAGATAGACATCTGCCTTTTTAGAGCAGCTGGAACTTCCCAACACATGCTTTTATGGAGTGTCTTGTCCCCTGCAACCTCATCCCTTTCTTCCTCTTCCTTTCCCTCCTTTTCTTCACCTCGATCCATGAAATTTTTACAAGCTGTGCTATTGCTTACCCTGACCATTGCATAATCACATCCCTCCATCCTGTGCACATGCCACTTCCCTCACCTAAAAGAGTTTTTGCTTGCCCTTTATAGTCAGTAAGGAAGGCTGTTTATTGGGTCTTTAAATCAGCTAGTTTTCCCATATCCTAGACAGGGACAAGGAGAAGGCCACTTGTCCCCATCTAGCTCCCTTCCTATCATCTCTTTCTGCATGCCTTTGTCTTCTATTTTAAGTGGTTTTTTTTTTTTTTTTTTTTTTTTTTGCAACTTGTCATAAAGATCCCTTGTGCATCTCTTTTCAGTTCTAATATGTCCGTGCTTGGTATTTGTTTTATCATTCAATTCTTGGTACTGAACTATCTGTTGTAAAAGGAAAAGATGCAAAATACTGCGGAAATAAAAAGGTGTTCTGGATGCTGTTGGAACCATTGACTATAGTAGAGACAGTTGGATTAAACTATGGAAAAAAACAAAGAAACAACAAACTCCTACTTGCAGAGTTGTAAAATATGGCTTGGTTTATGGCACATTATTTTGACTCCATTAATACACTATTAACTGTAACTGATTATTTATATTCTGTTAGCAACAAGGCACCCTAGCTACCATGGGAGCTCCATTGCTCAAGTCCTCAGGTCCCACCATTTATCACAGCTCCGTCTGAAGCCTTCATTGTTGTTCTCTGCATTTTGCTCTTTGACGGCCCGAACGGCAGCCATAAAACAGGCTGCAGGAGTTAAGCAGCTTCGAATTAGACATGAGGGAACATTGCTTAATAAATCACTCTTTGTACAGTAGCAAAAGTCTGTAAACTTCAGGGAGAGCATTTAATGGGCAGTGGTATAGTTTCCCTGTAGTGGTGAAGAAGTGCAGAGCCTATACAAGCCTTTGCACTTTCTCTCGCTTTCTGCTACTTTATTGCTCATCATCTGCATTGTTAATTTTTACTGGTTCATTTTAGATTTTAAAGCTGCAACTTTCTGCTTTGAATTTATGCAAGTTGTAATGCATGCTCACTGTGCACACTAGGAATTTGAGGGAAATTCTCTCCTTAATCCCTTCTCCAGGGAGGTTTTCCAGAATTCTCCCTTTAATCATTTCCCAGAATTGCTCCTCTATGCTGTCCATCATGTAAGGTCTGTAACAGGAGATGGAAATTCCCTTCCATCGTTTTTTCAGGGTCTGTGTTCTCTGCTTTTCCATTTCACCTCATGAGTCTCATGGATGTTGCTTGGTGTGAGAAGACAGCACTGTAAAATGCAGCAAATTAATGAGTTTCAAACAGGCTCTTTTACAACTATATGAGCGGGACCAAATGGAACAGTTAAGACGTTGGAAGTAGAAGGCCAGATTGCCAACTGCCATAGGAAAGAATCATTGCCATAGAGGCTAGAGAAGATGTGGATATGTCCTACAAGAGAGGCACAGTGCTTATGCAGGAGAGAATAAACATTATGGTGTTTCCATGATCATGAGAGCGGCCTCAGTCATAAACTTCGAAAATGTCGCATCTGTTTGTGTTTTTGTAAGTAGGAAAGTAGATTTGATTTGTTTGCTGGGCCAGAATAGCACCATAGAACTGTAGCAATAATGAAAATAATGCTTTTAGTGGTGGACTGTGGAGTTAGAAGATGTTTTACCTGGAGAGCATATCTTCCACCTGGTTTAAGCCAGGCAATGACCACTTGATGTTTTCAGAGTGAGGGAAGTGATTTTCCAGGGAATGCCAGTTGCTACAAATAAGTCTTTGCATTATTGCTCATCCTGCTCAAATGGGCAGGTTGTGCCCATCATGTGCCTTCATCCCTTCTTCCTTGCTTCTCCATGTCCCAGTGGAACAGGGACTTCACCTTTGAAGTGTGATACATGAATAGGATGCAGGGCTCAGAGTGTCACTGTGAAGATCCCCATGCATCTCTGCGGACTGCATGGTTTCATTTTTGTCATCATGTGAGCATCAGTACCTATTTTCATGATGCCTTTGGGTTTCTGTATGCTCTCACACTCTCAAAATAAAAATTGGTATAATTAAACAGTGTTTACTCAAGATCTACAGCTGGTCCCAAAACCTTTGAAGCCTTCAGGAATATTTCCACTTCCTTCAGTGCACTTTGAGTGTGACCCACAAAAGCCAAGATAGGACAATTTCTTCTAGAATGGATATCATCACCAAATTGGAGATCGACTCTAAGCAGAGGTTTCTCAATGGGATTTTGGAGTCAGCGTTTTGCTGGAGGGCTTAGCGATTCTGTCTATCTTAGGATTTTCGTGCTGCCAGTCCCTCATGTGATCAGCTCACTTTTCACATCAAGTGAGGAGCCTCAGCAGAAGTGGTGGCACCTTTAGAGTGGCCATCTCCCACCTTTAAAGGCAATGACCTGAGGGTAGACCTGCACAGATAAGCATCATTGGGGCAGTGGGTGCATAAAAGCTTGTCCCGTCATCCGCTGTCCTGGTAGGACCCATGTGCATGTGGATGCACAGACACCCAGATGGCTTCTGGTTATTTGCTCCTCTATCTCTACTGCTAAACAATGTGTCCTGTTGAAGGACACAGGGACATTTGTGCATCTTTGACCTCACTGGCTCTTGGCTACTTCACTGTGCACCCTTAATCTGTTCCTTAAGTGAGTTTTCCCTGGAACTACACTGCATTGAAAATGCACCAGCCTTATCACTGCTGTCGGTGCCAAATTGAAGTTGAAATGATGCCTGGATTTGATGCAGAGAAACAGATTTATTTTTATGTATTCCATCATTTTGCCTCCCTTAGTTCGTGATGGATGTTTGTGTAGTGCCGAGCTCAATATTCCCATGTCTAAACTGCATTATAAATTTGTGTTTATAGGTTTACAGATGCCTTCTCCAGAGTACATAGTTGATGTAGAGTCTATGGACATTTTCCCAGTTGGCTGGTGTGAAGCGAATGCTTATAACCTAACTCCACCACACAAAGCTGTTTGTAAGTACACGGTGACTCCAAGCAGGATAGGTAGCCTGTAATTCAGTCCTTGGAATTACCAACCTAACCAGTAAGCAGACTAGTGAGCAGTCTGTAACCATGCTGCAATAACTATTAACAAGCCTAATTACTGACTCAACTCTATACCTATGTATTGCCTAATTTGTACTTGCCTGTGTGATCAGTCCCTCCAAAAATAACACTGTTTGCTTTGGGAAAGACTCCTGAGCCACACTCCTAGTGGTGATCCAAACACCTCTATGGCAGAGCGCAGACTGTGTGGGACAAATGAACAGGCGCAGTGCAGGATTATCCAATGCAGGGGAGTGAGTTAGGAGTGCAGAGAATCAGAAAATAAAATAAATGAATATAGTGTATTCAGGTCATCTGGGTACTCCCTCTCCAAGACAGGATCAGCATCACCTACACTGAGGAATGTTCACATGGTCTCCTGTGACGGAGTTTGTGCCTCTTCCCAGGCGATGTGCCCTGTTATTTTGCTGTTCTTGCAGAATCATGGAATCATAGAATTGTTAAGGTTGGAAGGGACCTTTAGAGATCATCTAGTCCAACCCTCCTGCACATGCAGGGTCACCTAGAGCATGTGGAACAGGACTGCATCCAAGCGGGTTTTGAAGATCTCTAGAGAAGGAGATTCCACAACCTCTCTTGGGAACCCGTTCCAGTGCTCTGTCACCCTCACTGTTAAGAAAATTCTCCTTAATTTCCTATGGAACTTTTGATGCTTCAGGTTGTGGTCGTTATCATTCCAAAGATTTTCCTAGCATTTACCTAGGAGTCCAGCAGAAAGGAGAGTGGCCACAGTCTTGCCATGTCCCCAGTTGGGACTCACTGGCTGAGATTAGGTGTCTTGGTGCTCTCACGAAGCCCATCCAACTCCGATCTCAAGCCACCAGCTGAAAAATTATCCTCGCTGTTTATATTACTTAACATCTGAAAGGCAAATTTTAAAATGTGTCAGCCCTTTCGAAGAGTTAAATATGCTTATGTTAAAAATCAGGCAGCCAGGGCCTAATTTGGAAGACTACTGCTATGGCAACATTAACCAGCCTTATCGCAATTTATAGCTGAAGATAGATTATGCTGGAAGTAATCGTGCTCATAAAATATAATCTTATCCATATGTGTTTCTGTATGGAAAAAAAAAGTGTTTTTATTTTATTCTTTTTTTACACAAATCCCATAAAACAGAATATTAACATTCTGGAGGAAAGATGAAGTGTGTTATTACATCTTTAAAACAACTTTTTATGTAGTAGGGACTTAAATAAAAAGAAAGATGTCAATAGTAATTAAGTAGCATTTAATTGTCTTAAAAATTATTTTGCAGTCAGTGGATGTGTGCAGCTTTTTGTATATTATGTGTGTACTTTGTGGGACAGAGGAATACAAAACTATTTTTTCCTTTTTCTTTATTTTTGCAGTACAAAAGAAGAGAAGAATTGCAGTTGTGCAACCAGAAAAACAGTAAGTTTTTTTGAGAGGGGCTTCAGGCTGATATTTTTACAGTAATGAATCAGATCTCATAAAAATACTCATGAGCATATTAGAAGCTTTTTGCAATAGAAATATCTTACTATCTGGGGCTGTGTGGCCAATAGTTAACCTCTGGTCGCTGGTAAGGGATGGTTAGGGAAGCATATACCAGGAAGGTATCTCCCTATCTATCTCTTCCAGTTTCCAGAAACCAAAATTCAAGGAACTTGAGTTAGTGGGTGAAAATACTTGCAGCTTAGAGGGCTAAAGCATTTGGCTGCATTTCTGGAATATGCGGGAAAATGTGTCTGGAATGAGCAGTCTGTGCACAGTTGGGGCTGCGTTCAGAGCATCTCCATGCTTTGCTCCCAGCAGATTTGTGTCACCTCCCAGGTCCAGCAGGAAGCCTGAGTGGCTCCAGTTGTGCCCCCTTTTCCTGTTCAACATGCTCAAATGTCGTTTCACAGGTTACCATCCACAGTGCCTGTTGAGAAGATACCTCATGACCTCTGCCCAGTTCCTCACCCAGACACCACAGGTGAGGTCATCCGCAAGGTCCTCTCCTTCATTCGAGGTGGAGGTGCCTGTAGAGAGGGGACAGCCTCCCAAAACATGTCTTATTGGAAAGGAGACAACCAAGGCCAAATCCCGCAGGGGACGTAGACCCACAAACAACAGGTTTCTGTGATTATGTCTAGTCCTTTGTGCGCGAATGTTGCATCTTGCTTGGGTTACCTGGGCTTCCTCGCAGCTTCAGCTAATGATGTGGTGGCCAGGCTAATGAAGTAGAAATGGATGCACCTTTTTAATTGACACGCATGAAATTGGTTATGCCAAACTTAATGCATCCCTACATTAGCATCACGACTGTGCGCTATGGCTGCTACTTCAGCTAAAGGTGATTTTTTTTTTCCCCCCCGTTACTGATGACAGGGCCTTCAGAGAGGGCAATATTCATCCAGTTAATTGCGTTGACACTGCAGAAGGGGCAGGATTTAACTCACCTTGCTGCAACGGTTTGCCAGAAACGCACCTACATCCTAGGGCCCCGTTACAGGCAAATGGAGAGAAACAGGCTCTTTCTAGGTATGATCTTCTGAGCTACGTGGACAGCCACCTGTCCGGCGTATGAACCACACTTGGAGGCACCTGCTTCTCCCTGTGGACTATAAAGGAGCTCAGAATGATTAGCTTGGATCCAGAAAACTCTGTAGATCCAAGCTGGGTCAGATGAGTGGCACCTCAGTCCTTACTTAATTAGGAAGTTGCTGAACAGGGCTTGTAGAGCCCTTCAACTAAATATACTCCCTGAGTCACTTCCGTATCTGTGAGAAGCAGGTAACATGTTCCCTGTCTACTGATTTGCAATCAAATCACTCATATTATGAAGGAGCCTCAGGTCACGTTGAGTGAAATCCATCCCCATTCTCCTTCAGTAGGACGTGCAGCTAGAGCAGTTGCTATGAAACTTTCCTCCTCACATCCCCTTTCCTCTCCTCCTGTACATCTAGGAGGAGGAAGAAGCACCCTTGATTTGCTGTACAAAAGTGCTGCACACACATCAATGTTACTTTCTCCTTGCAGGCACCATCAATGGGAGATACAGCTGCCCTCAGCTCTACATCAACCACCGCTGCTTCTCAGGTCCATATTTAAACAAAGGCAGAATAGCAGAGCTACCTCAATCCGTTGGGCCTGGCAAGTGTGTTCTAGTCCTTAAAGAGGTATGGATCAGCTACTTTTTGGGGGGATTTCAAGGGAAAATGTGAGCCATGTGTTGCAAGGCTCCCAGTGTAAAAAGGAGAATTGTCTTTGAGCTCAATAGTGGTTTTCCTTTAGTCCAAGTTGCGAGCTGGGAAGTGCAGATAAGTACATACATTAGGGTTTTTCTCAGGGGAGATGACAATTTTGAAACATGGGGAGTTTTCTTGGTTAGGAATAAGTTTTGTCCAACTGTGGCTATTGTGCAAGAAAGATGTTCTGACCAGAACAGGTCCTCCAGGATGGCTGCAGTGTCATGTTGCCATAGACCTGCTCCTCCTGGCACAGGTAATGCAGCATCCTCGCTGCTGTTGTGCCAGTTCTTTGTGACTGACACCTTCCCATGTGTGACCATGGTCATGTGGGGCCTGAGCCTCCAGGATCCGGAGTTAACAGCAGTGAAAGTCAAGTCTCTGCGTGTGCAATGGGCTGTAGGGAAGCTGTGGTGCGCCCAGCTCTGGCTCAATACAGTGGAGTCAATCCCACACAGCACTGAAGGCAGGGAACCCAAATCTGTTCAGTTAATCCTGACCAAATCAATGCTTGCTTGCTTTGGGACAAATCCACAGTGTGCTGAGTGCTTAACATCAGGGAAAAGCTAGCTTGTCTGAAAAATACGTGTAAAGATTTCCTGCACAGACTACAGTCCTTGTAGAAATGAGAGGCAAGGTGACTTCTGGTGGGCAAGGACAGGAGCGTGGTACTGTTGGATCAAACACCTGGCACCTTAGGAACCATTTCTGCTTGATTCTTCTAAAAATCACGATTTTTTGGCTTTCCAACTTGGATTTGGCTTAACACAGATATTTGTGATGCAAGGGTGTTGCTGACATCTCTCTGCCCTCGGTGGAAAGACACAGGAGCTTTAGGTCTCCATTTATCTGTTGGATCTGTAAAAGCCTCAGTGCCTACGTCTGTTGTGGATGTTGGTTGTTGTCTGAGTGAGATGTCTCCCATCTGCATAGCAGAGGCACCTGAAGTATGAGACTCCATCCCAGTCACCTTTGAGAATGTGCCTATACTTTAGAGTGACTTTTGCATCCTCATTTGCTTGCTCCTAACCTCTATAAGCTGCTTTACTCACAACAGCTCTGCTTGATGTCTCACGTGGGTAAAAGCTGGGCTGTGGAGAGAGCCCAATAATCCAGCTGCTTGTGCAGGTGGGACACTTGGATCTGAAAGAAGCAAATCAAAAATAGCCCTCAGCAGAAAGCAGGATAAAGTGGTTGCAGAGCAAAAGTTGACAGCTGCCAAATTTGAAAGCAGGTCCATAGCGACTTGCTGTTGGGGAACGCTAGCAATCTGCTGCTGCTTGAAAAGCAGACAATGAAAAAGCAACATGGGGCAAGCATGAGGCATGCATAGCCAATATTTACACTAACATTTCTTCCTCCTCTCCCTCTGAAATTTGGATTTTCAAAGCATATGTAATACAAAGTTTCTGCAAGAACCTTACCTAGAGTCTTTTGCCTTTTCTACATTCGCCTACACCAGCTCACCAGCTTCCTCAGATTCCAGAGGAATGGGACCTATTCTCATCTGTCAAAACCATCCTGAGCAATTCTGCTAATTTTCTTACAAAAAGCCTGTTTTTCCTTGCTGTGCCTTCTTGCAGAATTGCTCGCTGTAGGAGCGAGTAGCAGTGTCAATGAGACACAGGCTTTTTACTCTTGGAGACATGAATGACTTCCCAAGGAGCAGGGCTGTGGCAATGGCCCAGCATAGCCCAGTGGTGTTTTGCTGTAAATCCAAGTTCATTCTGTCCATATAGACAGGTCCTGGTCCAAATTATGGGAGGGAAGAAGGGACATTTGGGGCATTGCTCTAAGAGGAATGTGCCTGAATTCTATTAGCTGCTGCCAAGATGAGCGAGCTCTCAGCAGCTCAGTGCTCCATGGAGAGGGATGAGGATGGAGATACCCAGCACTTGGAGTAAGCAAGAGGTGGGAGATACCTGTTGACATGCTGTTCTGTGGTGTTTTCATGCATACACCCCAGGACCACAATTTCAAAGCTTTGGAGGGCTGCCAAGTCCTCCAAGGGTTGAAGTAGGGGAGAGCTGTCATGCCTATGAACCCAGTCTCGGTGCTGATGTTGATGGTTTTGTCTCACTTTATGCCTGTTGATGTTGTGGCTTGGAGAATGCAAATGTATTATAATTATCTCTCTTGCTATATGGAAAAATTGCAGGCTAGTGTAAATTATGCATCAGTGTAACTTGTTTGGAATAGATAAATTATGCATAGGCTTTATTTCTGCAGCCCACAGGGGAGTGGCAGAGCAGACAATCCTACACTGAAAATAGCTGAACACCAATCTCCTGCCCCATCCCCTGGCCCGGGTTAGCTAAAACAAGAAGAGAGCAGATGTACTCTCCCCTTCAGCAACAGCTGATGGAAAACCTTGCTGCTGGTGGGTGCTGAGTGGGCAGGCCTCTACCCTCTCCCTTCCTCCACATTTGACCCTCGGGGATATACCAAAAACCACAGCACAACCAGGGTTCATGCTGCTGCCTCTTCAGCCCTCCTCTCCCCCAAGATCTTGCCGTTCCTTCATCACAGACCCTGCAGGATAGCAGCCCTTGAGCAAGATTTCTAGGCAATATTTTGCGAGCAGTTCCAACTTATCTGGTAGTATGATCAGTAATACTTGCTCTGATTGTGTGTATGTGTCTGTGTGTGTCTTTGCATTCATGCAAAGCTGCAGATGAGTGATAGGTAACTTTCTCGTATGTATTGCCAAACTCTTTTTTAAAGCCCATCTGTTAATTATTCCCAGTGCCACCACAAATCCCTGCTGGGACCAGTGGTTTCTTGGGGCTTCTTTAGATACTGACTTCAGAGTCAGAGGCTTTCCATCCTACTTCTTACTTTGAGAGGCAGCTGACAGTGGTTTAACATCACTTTTGAAGTTTATCTTCTTCCTAATATGCATGTTTGAAAATGAAGTTGAGATTTGAAGCAAGAGATAAAGGAGTTAACAGCTACTGTTGTCCAGCAACTGCACCTGGGTTGGAAAATAGTGGCTCTATAATGGCAGTACATTGTAACAAATAATAATATTAAATTAAAATGAGCTGTTGGATCACAATAACTAAAAAAAATCTCAGAACAATTCTTCCATCCATGCCAGTAACTTGCTATGGCAACATCTCCTAAAAACAAAATAGCTTTTTAAGATTGCAAGTGATCTGTAGCCCATGAGATTTTAGGGAAATATGTTCTAGAGATTAGCCTGACTGCACGCTGCTGTTGCTGTTGTTAAGTCACTTTGCTCTTTCCTCCTATTAAAAGTAAAGGACTTAAGGGTAATGGGACTGTCCAACTAATGTAAATAGAACAAATCAACCACCATTTTGTGAAAGAAACCTATTGCACTCTGCGGTTTGAATTTTTTAGAGCCCTTAATGACTTTTTAAGAGAAATTTGCATAATTAAATCAGATGTCTCAGTTTCAGTGGTTAAGTAGCTTGCACTAAGGTATTAGTTTGTGAGCCAAGCTGATCATATTATCATTAGCAATCAGATAATCCAAATCAGATAGACCTTCTATAGTCCAAACAGGTATGAACTTCATTTCTGCAAGAGAGTTTGATAGCATGCTCTTCGAGTGCTCAGTGGACTTCACCTCATCTGTTCTCCAGCTTAGGATCTCACTGTATTTTTGTAGATGGTTATACACAGTCATAAACTCATCAGCCTTGGGACAACCCTGAGTATGGCAAAAGTCAAGTCTTTAAGAACTGGCAAATCTATGACTTTGGAAGCTTTATAGCTAAAGGTGTCAGGTTTTTACCATGTGAGGGAAATGGTAGTGATGCTATGTAATCGGGCTCACAAATGTGTCTTCTGTTGGTTCTGAAAATCCAAAGAAAGTGTCAAAATAACTTCACAGTTTTATAACAACAGAGTAACAACAAA